GTGTATCGAAGTTTCCCGCTATCGAAAGTATCACGATGGATTACCAAAAAAACTTAACTTTTCATCAATTTTACTTTCGACTATTGTCATTTTTCCCCGGTACACTTCAATTATATTCGAATAGAAGAATGTTAATGATTTGTTCGTATAGTGGTCGGTGGCTTGTCAGTGACTGTGTCTGGGATCTGGCCGTATAAACTCCATTTCCATAGAGGAATGAACTGAATTTGTGTGGCCACGTCTTGGACACGATCATCGACTGATTGTTGACTACTGTTTGAACAAACCAGCATTATAGAATAATACAGAATAATTTAAATTTGACTATCACCATGGAGAAGTCAAAAACCATTAAAAATACGCAGTAAACTACATCGGGATAATGTTGAATATATACGTAAGAAAAAACCCGTTTTACAAAGTTTTGAATTTCGTAAATGGAAACCGAAAATTTCAGTTGCAGAACTTGTAAATAAACATTAATTCAATATGGCGCTTTTGTAAAAGGTACAGTTGATAATGGTGTATAAAAACGGAATGTCTCAAACGGATTGATAATGTAAATATGAGGATGATAGAAAGCGAAAATGCATTCCGGAATTCACTAGATAGACAAACAATTTTTTTTATTTTTTATTTATATCGATCTGATTCCAATGGAGGAGGTTAAAATTTAGTCACACTAATCTGTTAAAACTGCCTTGCCGTTAAGCATATGACCAGTTATGATAATTTCACTATAAAAGTCAGTTGAAGTGATGTATCGAAACTATCATGGCGAATTATACAGGGTGTAAACGTTATGGTAGTCATTATTGAAATGGGTAATAGGGGGGTCAAAACAAATCAAAAAGTTCAATGACCCATGGTCCAAAAGTCAATAGATTTTTGTCTAAATGGCTTTATAGGTTACAACTTTAAGTGCTTTATATCGACCACAATCACCACAATCTTAAAAAAATTTTATAATCTAATCTAAAAAGTTTTAGTGGATAATTAACAAATAAATGGCAATAAGTTTTTCTAAGTTAAGCCAAAATTTGTAGTCACTAAGTAATTTTCATTAAATTGAATATTTAAAATACACATGTCAACAGCGCGTCGGTCATCTTCACTCTTATCGAACCGGTAATCGATCTCAAACGGTAAAGTGGTTAGTTATCGGACATCGGGCGTGTTGTTTACAATGTTCTCGAATCAAGAGTTCGCCGACATGTTGTTAATTTACGGTGAAGCTCGGCAGAATACAAATCTTGCAGCTCCAATTTATCGCGACAGATTTTGCCAACGGGTACACCCAGACAGAAGGGCATTCGTGCAAGGGTACCAAAGACTTAGAGATACAGGAAGTGTTCAGCTCGCTAATATTCGCACTCGTGGAAGACAGGTTACTGTAGAGCAGGAGGATCAAATTTCAAATATCGTGAAAATCAATACAGATATCAGCACTCGGGAATTAGGCCGCCGCATCACATACCATAGTCCATAGAATCCTACGGGAAGATTTGCTTTATCCCTACCATGTACAACGAGTGCAGGCCTTGTTGCCAGAAGACTATCCTCGCAGACTAACATTCTGTCAGTGGTTTTTGCACAAAAACATTGAAAATCCGGATTTTTTTAAAAACATTCCAGCGACGGACGAATGTACTTTTACGCGAGGCGGGATATTAAATTTCCATAATACTCACACGTGAGGCCAAGAAAATCATCATACCATTCGTGAAGGTCATTTCCAACAACGTTTTAAGGTAAATATTTGGGCGGGTATTCTTGACGATCAGGTAATTGGCCCTTTCGAGTTACCCCCAAAGTTGTCAGGAGAAGGATACCTTAGCTTTCTAGCCAATAACCTACCAGAACTTTTGGAACAGACCTTAGACAACATGCCATTACAACGGAGATAGAATTTGTGGTTTCTTCATGACGGGGCACCACCACACATTTTTAGAGATGTCATTCAGTATTTGAATGAACATTATCCAAATCGCTGGATCGGTCGAAATGCTCCTTATCCTCGAAAATGTCCAGCAAGATCGCCTGACCTCAATCCGATGGATTTCTGGTATTGGGGAGAACATAAAGGAATGGTTTATGGGGCTGGTCCAAACACAACTTCGTGAAAAAAAATTTAATGTGGCTAAAATAATAAAAGGACAACTTCGAGGACCTAGAGTAAGAAGAAACTGGGTTCGTAGTAATGAAGCTTGTGTGGAAAGTGGAGGACGACCTTTTGAACACCTTCTTTAAATACAAAAAAGTAGAGTGTGGGTTTTAAAAAAAAAACAATGATGTATCAAAGTTGTGTTCCCTATTTATGAGTGGATTTTTTTAATACGTTCAATAAACTTTCACACACCAGGTGAAGCGCTGAGACAGTTAGTGGTAAGTCCGTTTTTTTAATTGTTTGCATTTTACGAGTACATTATCAAATAATGAAATAATACCTAAAAGCCAAAAATAACAAACTCCATCTTTATTTACACTGCGTTCCGTCGTAATTTGCGTCTGGCATTGCGGAGTTGTCAGATTTTATTTTACTTTAAAGTCGCTTTTCTCTAAAAAAAAAATCCGTTTTGACCGCCATGTTATATGAAACTTTTTGCTTCTTTTATCCCCCTCTATCACACATTTAAATAATGACTATCATAACGCTTACACCCTGTATATAGCAAGACAATATCGAAATTACTTTCACGGTGCGAAAACTCGTGATTGACATACTTACTATCGAATATTCTTGGATTTTTCCATTTCCATTACAACTACTATCTGGCAAATATTCACTCTGAAATATTTTCCAATAAAACCAAATGATGAATTTAAAACTTCCGTTGGAATATACCGACATAGTTTGCATAACATTTCACCGTCAAAAATCTCTGTTACAGGCATCTGCTGATAAAATAATGGCTATTAGACATTTTAAATGCTGCCTAACGTTTAACTTTTATGTGAAAAATAAAATCACTGGCAAATTAATACTCTGAATGTATTCTGGATTAACAGGTTTTATACGCAGTTATAATAGAAAGATTTACTAATTCAACCAGGTTAGTTTGAACTTCGCTAAAATACGTGGGCACTATCAATTTTATAATGCGTGATCTGTCTGGGATTATTTACATGATTATGTTTTAAACAATGAATATTCATAGCTAAATTTATGGTCAAATATTCGCCATTCGTGACATCATTCACAAACAAAATCATCAGCGACGGTGTAGCGAATATTATTTTAAATGTACAAATTTTAGCTCAAACACCGCCAAAAATAATAGCTAAACGTTTCTCCATTATTGAACTGAAAAACTACATTACATCATTGATTAATATTCTTCGTCAAACACATGTTGTCAAGTAGGAAAACGGACTCCACTTTCATTTTAAAGATCATTCATTTTTATACGTCCAATGAAAAATCACTTTTCCACCGCCCTCCCGGTTGTTTCTGAGATTTTGGATTTCCTGAATTTCTCAACGACTGATTAGGAAATCTCATAAACTGCGGCAACGGTCCGAGAGGTGGCAACACTGAACCTAAAGACGGTGATCGACCGATATACAGGGTGTCACAAGCGTGCGAGAACGGCGTATTGCTCCTAAACAAAAAGTTTTCGTACTATCTATCAATTATTATATAATGTATCTGGAGGTCATATTTCTAAAATATCCACAATTATAGAGTGTGTCCCAGTTTTGACTCACATATCAAAGTTAATTTTTCTCAAATGGAATGCCCCACTTTCTATTACACATCCGCATAGGCCCTTTTAAAAGAACAAGATTAATATAACATACTACTGGGTGGATTTTGGATATTAGTTGTTGAGATATTTAGTATCTCATCTTATAAAAACATCAAAGTCTGCGTACTTGCTCTCTTGATGGTGGGAGTAGTGAATTTTGTTTCAAAACATTTTTAATGTTCTCAATTTAAGCCTAATTGTGGACGATCAAAAACGCAAAAAAATAATTGGAACAACCTGTATATTTTCAATTTCTAGTCTCCATTTTCATGAGTTTCTTTTAATATAAGGTTGTCTCCAGTTTATTCAAAAAGTTTCTGCGTTATAGCTGTTTGTTTAAATAAACTGGATATTTCTCTATTCAATCAAGTCACATCGTCCATGTAAATAAAAAACTAGTAAAAGATTATTGTCTTATAAAATCAGGCTTTTAGCTAAGAAGTCAAGTACGAGTTTTGTGTTGTAATTCGTCAATACAGATGGATGTGATAATATAATATTAATTTATTAAAATGTCTGAAAATGACGCTCATAAGTACAAATAACTGAAATTTAAACTATTTGTACTACTAAACTACTATAGACAAAAATCCTAAAAAAGGTTTCATCTATTATATCATTCAAAAATATCGAAAGACCGATGAATTAGGTTAAAATTGAGTATGGTAAAATTTATTCCACACAAAATTCACTACTACAATTATCAAGATAGCAGATACATAGACTGTAAAGCTTTAATTGCTTTTTAGATAAAATATTCTAAGAAAACGTAACATTAAACAAATTCACATCCATTGGCGTCTTTGCAAATTCTCGATAACTTTAAATTGCCTTATGAATCTTGCAAGAAAATGAAAATTAATTCGATGTAACACAGGCGGATAATCTATTGAATTACAAGTTTTTGCAGATATTTAACGCAAAGATCTCGTGTGTCAATATCTGATTTATAACGATTAGTAATACTAATTCTACCAATACTTGACCCATAAGCAGTTTCTGAGAAATCGCCTTATGCTTTCTAAGTTGCAACAACTTAGGATGTCGAATGTGAGCTCATCCAGTGAAATCCGAGTTTAACACATAAATACACTTGTGAATCACTATATACTCTGATTTCAAACATTATCGAAAAATGTAGCTTTATCGGTAGTCTTTTTGTATTCATAAGCATCTGCAGTAACTCTTTTAAACTCTATTTTAACATGTCCCATACGTGTGCATGATCTTATCGTGCTCTTTTTTTTCCAGGAGAAGGATGCTTCGACAAACCCTTAACAACTCTATGGAGAAACTACACTCAGTCTTCACGTCCTGACGTAAGAATGCAACTGACAGTGTGTGGAGGAGGCCTAAGAGCTACCACCAAAGACCATGGAATCACAGAGTATTGGTCCCATCGACTGACAGCATGCACTGCCCCTGAACAGTATCCTAGGTTGTTTTGTTGGGTAAGTTTCTACCAGCCATACATTTCATAATGCGATAATAAATTTCACTTAAATATAATATCTAAAGTATGATTGGTCGACGGCAAAAAAACAGAATGATTCCTAAGTCCAAAACAAAAACTCCAATAGGTTTCCTTTTATGAGCTCAAAACAAAACTGAACAACTCAACTAAATTTAAGAGTCACGTCTTTGGTAAGCTATTCTACCATTTCTGTTTGGCTATTTTTTGCAATTTTCACAGGAGTCTTGCTATAAAATACATTTGAAAATGCATAGTTTTCAACTCAGGTAACTGTGACTTGGAAGTCAACTAAGAGTTGTTTTTGAATTAATTTTTCAAATTGTAGTCAACAATCAGTAAGCCGTCTATGCAGTAACGTTGCTTCTATGCCTGAGTTAAGACTATACATATATAGTGTTCTATGCATTACGTATAGGTTAGACATTCCGGACTGACCACAAATTTACAGTTATCCCATACATGATCCTCTGGTTGAAGTTGATTTCCATTTTAAGACAAACTTGATACTGAAAAACTCTTTTTGAAAATTAACTTTTGGTTTGCAGACAAGTTGCAGTTAACTTACGATTAAAAAACCTGGCCTAAGGGTCATAACTGCCCTCCTGGGAGGCCAGAGAGCTGTGAAAATCGTAATCAAATTAGACACGTGAAAATAATGAAGTACATGTACAAAAGAGTGACCTTTTAATTAAGTTTGGCAGGTTAGGTACATTTTCTAAATAAATTGTTCAATGTTTTTTACAGATTTACAGACACGAAGTGCGTCGAATGAAGCACGAGCTGCGGTGTCACGCAGTCCTTTGCTCCACCGCAAGCATCGCAAAACAAATAGAAGCTGAATTGAAGCAATCTCTTACTCTAGCTCTTCTAGAATTCAAGAGAGATAAACTGTGTAGACAAAATGCGCGACTGTCACTAGTGAATTCCGTCTACGAAAACCCCACTTTACCTAGAAGGAAAATCTTGCTAAGCACCGGCCCCCTCAACTACAAGCCCCCCTTAGAGCGATCCAAATCAGCTCCAAGACTCACCAGCATCGAAGAAATTATCGAAGAAGAAGATGAGGTAATTCCCAAGTCGAACAAGATCTTCAAAGAGATCATCAGCAGATGTGAAAGTACAAGTAGTTTAGTGTATAGGTTAAATAAGATGAACACGACCCAATATATCTGTGATAGAAGACAAACCAAAGAAACTGTAGAGGAAATAAGTATGGATAAGAAAACCGATATGATATTAGAAGAGTTAGTGCAATGCTCGCTGAGCAGTGATCTTGTTGAATCATGTGAAAAAGCCTGGTACAACGCAATGATGGCCAAACCAGATCTGATACCTACAGACAGCGATGAGAGCTCTTTATCTAGTGGATGTGGCTCAGTTAGTACGGTCACAGATGAAAGATCCGTGTGCATGGAGTCTATATCAGAAAGTGTCAATGAGTACCTTCCTGAGAAAAAGACTGAGCCTGACTTCAAAGTAGGAGGCATAGTGATGTCCAGAGTGAACAGTTACGAGAAACTTGCTAACCCAGATCTGCTGAATTATTGTGGTATCAAATTGTACAATAAAAGGATACCTTTGGACCATCACGAAAACGTTTCGTTGGTGCCTGTAGGCGAGAGCAATGATAATTTCAGTTCTTTGAAAATATTTAAGACGAAAAATACTGACTCCGCTAACAGGCCTACTTTAGAAGACAGACATAACGAAGAAGATGAAACTGTGAGTGCGTGTAGCGATGAAAGCGGATTCGAAGAGGAGGAATTAGTTAGTTCTGTTGCTAGTATTGTATTGGTATGAGGAACGTTTATGTTTAAAGTTTGGAAAACCGATTTACAAGTACTGAAGTTGTCATAATGAACTTCATTTCGTAAAATGGAGCTAGTTGATATTAATACTCTTATTCCAAAGCTTACCTTTTGTGCATGATACCCTGTCTCTACATTTTTAGCAAAGGTCTTGGATATAAGCAAGTAGACTTGGTTCGATGAAAAAGACGATGTTTTATTTCTGTTTTGGATAATTTAGAACAGATTGAATAGAAGTGAAAGGAAGAGAAGCACCTGTTTAAAAGGGTAGAGACTGACCTTTGACAAAATATTGTAACGTGAAATTCGCAGCCAACACGTGTGAGCAAAGTTCGAGTTCCCACAACACGGAGCGAAATATTCACGTTACATGTTACGTTACGATGTTATGTTACAGGTCAGTCGCCAGCTTAATGGTTCTGCTCTATATTTTTCGACCACCATTGCAAAGGGAAATAATATGAAATGTTGAGAGAAGTATTTCCGGCCATATAGACTCATTTAATAAATGGGAAGATTTGGAACATACACTCAGGTGCAAAATAAACACAAAATAAAATTTTTATCAAATTGGGAACGTCATAACTTTTTCAATTTCAACTTTATTTTGACGTTTATCACACTCATTGTCTGTAATATGCATGTTTAAGTTCTCGTTCGTAGTCGTGTTGCTTGTTATACAGGCTGAATCAAAACGATTAGTCTAACTCTGAGACACTCTGTGGTGTCGCTATACCAGCAAATGAGAATGTAATGTTCCTTATTCATGTCAATACATATAGTGATTGAATATTTAATGAACTTTTTGCCTCCCATTTGGCTTTGCTCTTCATCAATTTTTTAGTTTCTGTCCGAATTCAATTTTTTTCACTACATTCTAGAGAAATCTACTGTCTTTCTATATTCATGGTATTTTATGACCTTTGATTTTGTTTTCCTAAAAAAATGTATAACGGTTTCGAGCTCTAATCTTTTGAACTAGCAGTCAATAACCGTATATTCCCTATGGGGATCTTGGGTTCAAACAAATTCGGCCAAAGATTATTTTTTGGGACAAAATAAATCTATTACAAAAAAACATAACCAAACATTACCAAAACTGGGAAGAAGAAATAGAAGACTAGAAATTCACTAAATTTATACGATATCCATCTATCAGAAATCATCAATCATCAAATGGTGGATCCAATATGACGGACATACATATTTGCAAAAAAGAATGTTTGGAACGTTTGATATTGATTTTTCTAGATCAAAGTTTCAACGTTTTGATTACTCTTGAATTTGAGTTTTATATGCCTTAGGGGTCGCTGATAAAAGATGTAGTATCGATTTTTCAAAAATTAAAATGGTGGACGTGGATGCAAAAAAAGTTTTAGCTGCGCTTAATTTGGTTTTCATAAGTTTGCAAGGTCGCTGGTAACGAATTTAATTAAACTATTTTCATTGTAACTGGGTGTCTGATAAACATGCTACTATTGCAAATAGAGCGGACTCTAGTAGACGTTTTTTCTAAACTTTTTTTAAATTTATCGATTTTACTATGAATCATAACATGACTTAAATACAATTCCATAACACTGGACCGCAAGATATATCTTGTCAAAACAGAAAAACATGAATTTTCCAAATGAACACTTAATAACACAGTGAGCTTCTATTTTATAACTTTTTTTATTTGTCGATACTGATGGATAGTAGTTGCCACGACAGTGTCAAATAACAAATTATCGAAACCAGCTGTCTAGTGGACTTGATGTACATAGCATTAGAATCAGTATATTTCGCATTTTGTGTAGCACAAAATATGTATGCCATTAGGAGCTTCATCGTTAAAATAAATTATTAGTGTTTCATTAAAATTGTGTCAACAACTATCAATAATATATTTCCAATGATTGTTCATACACGCACAAGTATTGTGTATTTCTATAAGTTATTTTTTTATTTAAATCATATATTCCTGCCTCTTATCAACACAAATTCTGAATTCATCTGTTCAGATTTGATGAACAGAGTGAACTGTTCGCGAGTTTCTGAGCGTCATCACCAACATTTTATTTTACGCGGCTTTTTTGTTCATTTATTCATATTTTCCTTTGAAATACGGAATTATTTATATGCATAACGCCAACTAAAAGTACATACTGGGTGAAAACTATTTTATTAGATTACTATTGTGTCGGTTTTTAAGATTAATACTTTAAATGCTGTTTTTGTCAAAATATTGGAAAACGTAACTGTATCTCACAATAACACCTTAATATCTAGTCGGAGATGCAGGCTCCTAAATGGCACTACTTGAAATCGGTTTTTCTTGAATATCTTTAGAACGACACACTATAATCCAACTAAATTTTAACAGCGTAGCAACCAGCTAGGGCGTCACGTGGAGGTATCAATGGAAAACAATTAACTCTTTTAGATCGGTAGGTCCAGACTGACCCTAAAGTAACATTCCTATTTTTGACAACCTGTATAACACTAGCTGTAATAAGTTTTTGGCTTAATGCTTTAGTTGAAAAAATGTTTTCTTGTTTATTTCCAGTATAACCGTTTTTAGAGGTCACTCATTATTCCCTTTTCAGAATTTCAAACTATGCAAGCAAGTTATTTACCCCAGCGCCAAAAGGGCTATGGCCTGAGGCGACAGGCCAGTATTTTCGAAATAACGATATGAGTATACGATATCCACTGTCAGAATCAAACAAATGCACCGAAATAAGGTTTTTTCTCTAAAATGATTCATTTTATCGATATCAACGAAAAAACATTTTTTCAGAATGGAGGTATTTTCAAAAATGTCATTGATCCATTATTATACCGTGTGTAAGAAACGTACTTTTAATTTCTTCATATTCTTGGGATAAAGAAGTGTTCTTTTACAAGCTGCCAACGTTTCGGCGTTTATTTTTCGTCTTCTTCAGGGTTATCGAATGAGACACAAAACACGTCCCAAGGGATAACAAACATCTCTTAGGTCAGCTATGAAAAACAGGTAAATACATATGAAAAATAAACACAAATTGATGTAAGAAACATTAATAATGCTTTGAGGATAATCCATCACTGCCGACCTAAGTGAGTTAATCGTCGTTCCATAAAACATAAAATTCAAACTGTGTGTGGGTGAATATGTTGCCGGCAAAAAGAATTTGATGTGTTTGCCATTACTTCCATTCTTTACTACCTTATACGGCTTCTTGTTTCTGTTTGTTGAAACTCGCACAACCAATATTGCCTCCTATATTATGTACGTATACACTTCGTCTTCGTCTTCAACCTCACCTACGACTTTCTCCATAGCACATGACATTAAATCTGACTTGATATCAAATTGATCTGCAATAATTTTTGCTGCTTTTTATTTTCTGATTGCATCCAATGTAGCACGATATCATTATTTCCACATAATTCCTGAACAAGACAGTTTCTTGTTCTGTGTTGATATTCTATGAAATGGTTGTATTCCAACAGCAGAAGGGAGCTAAAAAAATGCATTACATACTTAGGTTGAGAAGTAAGCAATTACTGGTCAAAACAACACTTATAAAGTGCGAGATCAATAAAGACCTCCTCAAATGAGACATGTTTCGATTTTTTTCACTGCTACACTGTACAGAAAAATTCAAATATAATTCACATCGTAATGTGTGTGAGAGAGAAGTGCGAGTCGCGTGCAATATGTATATTACAAAAAGTGCAATGATGGCAACGCGGCAAGCCGCAGCTGCGTCCGTGGCCTCGTTACTTGGGTAGCTAGGCAACGTGGTATTTCTATCTCTTTTTAACATACATATTACTCGCTTCTCTCTCATATACAGTACAACGCAGTGGTATATGGACTTCTCTGTATATCACTAGATCCAATTTTATCAAATCACAATATTTACATTGAGTTGGTTCATGTATACCCTAAGATATACGCAAATCAACGATCACGACCTTTCATACTCATTTTACAAATACTTTGAAACATCTTGTAGCTTCATGTCCAACTGAAAAATTAAACAAAAAATTGAGAGGAAGCAGGTTTGGGCTGCGAAGGAGGCCATTTCAGTTCACAGAGAAATATAGTGAAACGTTTATTGGGTGTGTTCTAATTCTGCGTTAAGTCCGTTTTACAATGCTTCTTCCAATATTGAAATACCCAAAAAGAGTAGCCACATGTCGACTATACATAATACTACTTGTTTTGCAAGTATTTGAAAATTTAATGTTTTGTTATCAAACTGACACAATAAAGCTACAAAGATGAAATCTTATATTTACCTAGGTGCCTTTTTCTCTCTGTTTGCCTGGGAGAGGAAAGATACGCGTATTGTCGCTAACAACGGCGATTTCTGCTGTTAGTAGTGAAAATATATTATTACAGTAAAAAAAAAACAAATATGTAAAGATGACGATGAATTACTTATTTCATACCTCCATGCGGGTGATCGAGAGAAGTCACTTAAACGCAGTAAAAAAACGACGGTGCATCACATTTATCATATGCTATGGTTCTAAAAAGCATGCAAATTACAAACTTGAAAATGAGCGCAGCCCTACTGTTTTTCTACTTTGACTCAAGTCACCTCTGCAAACCATTCGTGTCTTTATTTCGTTGGATCAAATCCGTTAACATCTAAAAATTATTTACAAATAATTGTGAAATAAATGAAATTTTTTTAACGTATGGTTAGTTTAGCTTAGTTTTGTAAATTGTTTTCAATTACAATGTTTCTGTTGCCAAAATTATTTTTGGTGTGGTTCCCATATTTCTATTATATCGTATTATTTCGAGTATGTACAGTTGTAGTGAATACTCTAATAAAATATTATATTATTTGAAGAACTGATGTTTTTATTTCTTGCGTAAAATAACACACGCATTCTAAAAATGTTTGTGTGTGTGTGTGTGTGTTGTACTGAAATCCACTGCTGAATACTGTAATGCTGATCCCCCGACAAGCGGCTGGCTGCTTATATACCCATTTCGACCATGTGGTATTTTCTAGAAACAGCGGGAATCAAGAGATCGAAAACGATCTTTATATACAGGGCCATTCAATAAACAAGTGTCCGACGACTATAGGGTACGGCTTACCTTCCTTACGATTCAAGAGAGCCTCCTCCGTCCAAGGAAATGGGGGACCTTGCCACATTCTGTAGGGATTCTGGACTGGACCTCGTGATTGGATGCGACAGCAATGCCCATCACGTTATGTGGGGCAGCTCGAACACCAACAGACGGGGCGAAGACCTGATGGAGTTCCTAGGGGCATGAAACTGGGCTGAAAGTGGGCATGTCGGTAACATGCCCACTTTCAGCAATAGTGTAAGAGAAGAGGTTATCGACGTATCACTGAGCACGCTTAACTTAGCTCAGGATATCAGGGACTGGAAAGTGTCTCTAACACCCGCTCTATCGGATCACAGGTATATACTGTTTAAGACTGATGGAGAGATTCCGGATAAATATGCTCGGAATCCCAGGCATACGAGATGGGGGTCCTTTAGACATTGACAGTAAGCTTGGAACGGTCCCATACAGACTTTGCAGGGGCTCTGACATAGAAGCAGCTGTCGAGTCTCTGAGCAGAGACTTTATGGCTGCATATGAGGAAAACTGCCCGTTACGCAAAAACCAAGGTAAGGGCAAGGCAACCTTCTGGACCAAAGAATTAGAGAATAGAAAACGAACGGTTAAGCACAGGAGAAGTTCTCCTCTAAGGGAAGACTACGAAAAGGCATTGCAGGGGTACGAAAAGGAGATTAGAAAGGCCTCCAGAGAATCCTGGAGGTACTTCTGTCAGTCCATAAACGACATTCCTGCTACTGCTAGAATACACAGGGTCCTATGCAAAGACATTAAAGCAAGATTGGGATCTCTGCATGATCCTCGGGGGGGAATACTACTTCTGAGGAAGGTACTCTGAGGCTTCTGATGGATACGCACTTTCCCGGTTCCACAGTAGCGCGATCAATCACAGAGTGCATGCAGTTGCGCAGGCCCTCAGGGGAGGACTGGCGCACGGCTAGGGAGATTGTCACCTTCGAAAGGACGGTATGGGCAGTAGATTCGTTTGCTCCATACAAAAGTCCAGGTCTGGACGACGTATTTCCGGCCATGTTACAGCAGGGACGGAGTTCGGTTGTTCCTTACCTGTTGAATGTGTTTCGAGCATGTGTGGCCACGGGCTTCACACCTAGAAGCTGGCGGCAGGCTAAAATGGTATTCATTCCTAAACCTGTCAGAGCTAGATATACTGGCCCGAAGGATTTTCGACCGATTACTCTTTCATCTTTTGTGCTTAAGACACTGGAAAGGATAGTTGATAGATACTTAAGGGATGGCTCGCTGGAAAGGTGTGTCATTCATGCAAATCAGTTTGCATACCAAGTTGGAAAATCGACTGATCTGGCCTTACACAATCTGGTCGGTAGGCTGGAGAAGACTCTAGAGAAGTGGCACTCGTGGCGTTTTTGGACATTGAAGATGCATTTAATTGCACCACAGCGGACTCTATCAGACATGCCTTGGTTAGACACGGGGTTGAATCAATCCTAATAGATTGGGCCCCATCTACTCTGGAAGGTCGGGTAACAACAGCTATGCTGAATGAAGTAAGCTGCAGCGTGAGTGTAGCTAGAGGCTGCCCTCAGGGTGGAGTTCTGTCACCCCTACTGTGGTGTATCGTGGTGAACGAACTCCTCGTTAGGCTCAGCAGTTGAATACAAGGTTAGCAAGGCTCGCAATTCGATGTGGGCTTGTAGACGTGTTATCGGGGTAAGGTGGGGGCTTAAACCGAAAGTGGTATACTGGCTCTACACGACGATAGTACGTCCATCTCTCTTGTACAGCTCCCTGGTCTGGTGGCCTTGCATTAGAACTGAGACAACTAAGGCCAAACTCAATAAAATTCAGCGTTTGGCCTGTATTAGTATTACAAGCGCAGTGCGAACAACGCCATTGAGTGCACTGGAAGCTCTGTTGGATCTCCCACCGTTGGATCTGGTGATCCACGGTGAAGCGAGAGTAGTCGCTCATCGACTGTGGAGTCAGGGCAGCTGGGCTTTCTTGAATCCTGTCAAGGGGCATACTGCCATCTTAGTCGAATTACAAAGGGAGGACCCCGTCCTTCTAAACAGGGGTGATCGTATCACCCCTAAATATTGCTTCAACCGCAAGGTTATTGTAGAGTATCCAACCAGGGAGGAGTGGGACGCCGGTAGCCGGGGACTCTCCGGAGTGAGCGGGCAGGTCTGGTACACGGACGGCTCGGTCACCGAAGAGGGTTCAGGTACTGGTGTCTCTGGGCCTAGAACTAGGCTACCTCTGCCTCTAGGTGGATACAGTATACACCACTATTTTCCAGGCGGAACCGCTTACATTCTAAGTAGCAACTCACACATTTCCGTACCAGATCTCGATAAGCAATGTTGGTTGCCATTTCAAGGTCGCCTTGAAAATTGTCTGGTCACCGTATTAGCAGTAACGCGTTACAACTCGTTCACACGATACGGTACGGCACGGGAATTTAACCGAAACGTTTGATGACCTACTTAATAGAGTGAAAAAAGACTTAACTCGAGAAGACACAAATATGAGAACATGTATCAGTGCTGAGGAAAAATTGGTGATATGCTTAAGGTAGGTGTCATTTTTTAAAAACTTTATTTTATATACAAATAAACAAATCAAAAATTGGAAATATCTAGATCTAAAATAGAATCTTGGCTTGCAACAGACTGTGTAGAGGGTGACGGTTCGGCAGTATATGGACTAGTCATTGGTGTTGTTACTCTTGAAATTGTTTGTGGCTGTGGCTGACTGTAATAATCATGATTTTGCCAATTATTGTAATAAGTGGCAATTGTACGCGATGGCATTTGAATATTATCGGCCAACCTTCGCTTCTTTGCTCTCATATTTTGCAATAAACTTAACACACTCGACTGAAATTCCAAAGTTTCATCTTCATCAAACGATGATAATGATGGAAGAAGACTTTTGAAGAATGTAAGATGACGATTTTCATCCTCTTTGACTGTTGAAACCTTGGATAAGTTGATTTGATGGTCTATGAATCGCATCATTTTGGCATCAACTTCATTAATACTCCTCTTTCTGCGTGCAGTAGAAGTACTGATGGGAGTACTACCAGACTGATTTGCTTCCATATTCGGTTGTTCAGGTGGAACACTCTCTTCAATAACTTCTGCATCCAAGTCTTCTATCTCGGTGTTATTTTCATTATTAGTGTTTTCATGACAAACAGTTGAATCTGTAATTTTTTTCAGGAATGACATCTGCTCATTATATATATAAAGTCTTGAAGGTTTGGTCGATGTGCCACTTGTTTTTTGGTCTTTATGTTTTTTCAATGCTTTCATCCACGAGTCTCGAATGTATGTCCACTTTTTTAAAATCAGCTTACCTGGAACAAATAAAATAAAACGTTCCTTCCTTTCAGGTATCTAGCATCTGGGTGTTCGTATAAAGATCTGCATTACTCCTACCGAGTTGGTGTCTCAACAATTAGCAATATTGTGAGAGAAGTTACTCGGAGTATATGGAATAATATGGGTACTAAATTTATGGCATGCCCTGATACGCCAGATAAATGGGAGGAAATAGCGAATGGATTCTGGATGAAAACGAATTTCCCGCATTGCCTCGGTGCGGTAGACGGGAAACATATAAGACTGAGAAAACCCGATAACACTGGCTCTATGTACTTCAACTACAAAGATTACTTCTCTATTGTTTTATTAGCAGTCGTAGATTCAGAATATCGTTTTATATACGTGAATATAGGGTCCTATGGAAAAGATTGTGATTCGTCAATCTGGAAAGAATCTACATTGTGGAAAAAGTTGACACAGGGCGCTTTAAACATACCAACACCCAGACCTTTAGAACAGACACAAATAAATGTACCCTTTGTGTTTATTGGCGATGAAGGTTTCGGATTGCATGACAATTTATTAAGGCCTTTTGGCGGTACACATTTAGACAAGAAAAAGCGAATATTTAATTACCGACTTACTCGCGCTAGAAGATATGTTGAATGTGCATTTGGCATCTTAGCTAATAGATGGAGGATATTTCATCGTCCTCTAGATGTTAAACTAGAAACAGCAATATGGATAGTAAAAGCGTGTACTGTGTTACATAATTTTGTCCGAGAAAAAGACGGGTTTAATTTTGAAAACGCTCATTTGCCAGAAATCCACCTTGACAACTTACCAAAAGCACAAAATATACGAGGAGGACTATCTGCCAATTCCATAAGAACAACTTTTGCTGACTATTTTCTAACAGAAGCTGGTTCTGTTTCTTGGCAAGATGAAGCCATCGGTTAGTAAATTTATGTATGTCAAAATAAACAATAAAATACTTACCAAAAGCCTGCCTCTCCTTTTGTTCCATATCTTCGAAATTCTCCTTTAACAGAGAACATATCTCTCTCCATGCTGACGACTTTAAATTTTTGTCTTTATATGTGTCAAGTGTTTTATCCCATAAAGCGGGTCTCGCTTCCACTAAACTTATCAACAGCTCCGTATTTATTTTCTCCATTGTATATATGTAGGTATATACCATAAATATGAGCAAACTATTTAAAGCCGAAAACAAGTGCCGTTCGGCAAGATAATCGAATCGCGACTGGAGGTGAAATGGCCAATATACATTGTACGTGCCACTGAAGGCCGATTCGGTTTTTTTCCCGAACACAACCGCATGCGACCATACGGTTGCCAGTGGCGCGAACCGAATGCAAGTCCGAACGAATCGGCAGTTTTCCCGTATATGGGGTACGACCGCATCGTGTGAATATGCAGATT